GAATATTTAAAGGGTATGTCCCAGCTTAAGTTATGATGATGAAGAAATTAATGGAATGTCTTGTTTAATGCATGGATATGTGTTGATGCAAAAAGTGGCAGAGGGATGGGGAGGGGGAAGGGAGGCAGAGCCTGAGTTGAAGAGGAAAGGGGCATCCACCAGCCCACGCCCGCCACAGGCGGGAGCAGAAACAGCTCTAGGTCTGGGCCAGGCCCACTCGTTTCCCCAGAGGGGCGCTCGGCTGGAAGTAGAAACACAGTCCACAAGGGTTTGTGATGTCCCCAGAGGACCGACCCCAGGAGCCTCCAGAGAAGCTGCAGGTAGCTGTTCCTGACCTAGGGAAGGCAAGTCTGGCTCACCAAACCCCCTTCGGGCACCTGGAGGAGGACACCAACTGAAGGCCATGGGGCATCCATGGGGACACTGAGGACATCTCTGAAAGAGAATCGGCAGGGAAGGCTCCTGTGCCCCAGCCCGGATTCCCAGCAGCCACAAGCCCCAGGGCCCTGCGGGGAGGACAACGCGCTAGTGGAGAGGAATGGCTGACAGAGGAGCAGAGACGGGGGCAGGAAAAGCACCAAAGGGGTCCTGAGGCAATGGCCAGGGTCCCAGGGGGCAAAGTTGCAAGAAGGGCAAGGAGATGGCACCTGGCCTTCGGTCTTCCTCCTGGTCTCGCTCTTGGCTCTTCCCTCCTCTCCTGGCTCTTGCCCTGACCCCTCTGCTCTCCTTCATCCTTGCCCTCTCTGGCATTCTCTTCACCTCTCCCCTTGCTCTGTCATCGTGCTCTGCCTCGTTCTCTCCCCATCTCTGTTGCCTGGCCCAGGCTCCTCTCCCAGGACAGATGTGCTCCATCCTCCTCCCTCTTCAGGGCAGAATCAGGGCTGGGTGAGGCTGGCCGAGGACTAGGGGAGGGAGGCAGGTTTCCCTTCAGGCCGGGGCCACCTGTACACAGCCTGCTTCAGCTGAGAAATCTTCCCAACCAAGCCTGACACTTTATTTCTGCTGAGAATTAAGAAAGCACAGGGTCGTATATTATCTCACCATCTAGCCCAGCACCTCTCTGACAAGCCCCTCAAAGGCTGTCTGGATGCTGACCACCATCAGATTATAAAGGGACATGAAAAATGACCCCAGGAGCCATAGCTGCATGGGAACCAATTCAATTCTCCTTTACCAATCTGTTTAGAGCACCCTGTAGGTGCCTAGCCCATGGCTGAAGGCAGCTGGGAGGCTGGATAAGCCCCCATGTTCCTGCTGTCAGAAAGCCCACAGTAAAACTGGAGAGAAGCAGAGGGGCCTGTGTGTGAGGGGTGAGCCCAACAGCACACCATGGAGGAGGTCTGCCTGCACCATGTAGGGACTGTCCGGTTGGGAGAGCTCCTGGGGCAGGGATGCTAGGCCAAAGCGTAACAGGCGCCCAGGTACCAAGGACAGTGGGCTGGCTGCCTGCAACTGGGGTGGCCTCTAGGGCAGAAGCCTGCACACACAGGGAGATTTCATTTGCCTAGTTTAATTTACCACGGAAAATGGGACCCATCATATCAGAAATAGCTCTACCCTGGCCATGCCAATCCGCAGGACTCACCCCAGCTGCTCTCGGGCCCAACCAGAGAAGACTGGCCATAAAACACAGAAACGAGGTGCCAGGAAAGGAGTCTCCTCCAGTGGTCCCAGCCTTCCTCCCACACAGGATGAGGCCCCTAGGGATGTGGGGTCTGCCTAGCATGCTCTGGCCCCAGGAATGGCATCACTTCCCAGTTGGGACAGAGCAGCAAAGCCCAACAGATTCTGTTTCACACTCTTCTGCCTGCCCCTTCTCAGCCAGGCCTTCCTCCCATCCTTGCAGGGGAAGCCTGAATTCCCCATCTGGCTCCCTGCCCCCCTCTTTTCCCCCCACCCCCCTGGCCTCTGCTTGGAACTTTCCTGGACCATCCCAAGCCCATTCCACCTGCTCCCAGCATCTCCTAAATGAGTAGACAGATGTCAGGAGTCCTGGGTTCATCTTGATATCACCATTTACAACCTTTGTGACCTCAGGCTAACTTCTTAACCTCTCTGAAACTCCATTTCCTTTATTTGTATACATCATAGGAGAAGTTGCGATGATCTAGCAATGTGATGCGTATAGCAACTGTTCCTGTTCTCAGGGGTGTTGTGGATCCTTGGGGAGGCCTGGGCTGCCTAAGCTCCACCCCCACTTGCAAGTCAAATTCCAGCCTTGAGTGTACCTTTTTAATGGAAAATGTGGAGCTCCTTGTAGTACCCTTCCCAATGGGGTACCAATCAGGCTTCATGAACTAGGGGGCTTATTTGTTGGTTAGAGCTGTCATAGCAAAGTACCACAGACCAGATGGCTTAAACAATGGAAATGTATTTCTCACAGCTCTGGAGGTTGGAAGTCCAAGATGAAGGTGTGGGCAGGATTGGTTTATGATGAGGGCTCTCTTCCTGGCTTGAAGACGGCAGCCTTCTTGCTGTGTCCTCCTATGGCCTTCTCTGTGTGCACATCCCTGGTGTCTCTTCCTCTTCTTGTGAGGACATCAATCATATGGGATGAGGGCCCTACTCTTATAACTCCATTCAACCTTAAGTACCTCCTTAAAGGCACTATTTCCAAATACAGTAACATTGGGGGTTAGGGCTTCACCGTATGAATTTTGGGGGGACACACTTCAGTCCATAACAGAAGCCAAGTGGACTAGGCTCAAAGCATGAATAGACTGTCAAGAGGAGGAGGTTGGGAGGGACAGCAGGGAACTTGCAGGCCCAGGGAATGGACCTGGGGGAGGAAGGTGCCAGGATGTGCGGTGGGACTGGTGCAAGAGGTGTTGGGGCCAGATTTTGGCCAGGGGAGTCAGGCAGAAAAGATACTTGATTTGCTGGCCCAAAGAACCTGGCCTTGGTCTCCCTTTATGGGATGGGTATTTTTCCCATTTACTTCTTCCTTGGTCCCCTCCTCCTGGAGCAGCTGAGGTCAAATGAGATAAAATATGACAAAGCCAAAGGCCATTGTATTGGTAGCACTCATGTGCCTACTCATCCTGGCTGAATCCCAGCTCCGCTGCTCCTCAGAGCTTTGTTCTTCTCATTGAAAAGATGGATATAATAATCCCTACCTCAGAGAATTGTAAAATTACATAAGCAGAAAAGCTGTAGAAATCTGTCCAAGAGAACATCAGGGCTGGAACTGGGTCCAGGTCAGTCCTTAAGATTTGTTTGGGGGAGAAGAACGCCGCAGGTTTCAGAGAAGGGAAGGCTAGGAGGGCGGGGCATTCCAGGAGGACAGGGCAGCCTAGGAAAGGGTGAGATGCTGAGTCCCAAGCAGTACTGGACAGGGAACCAGGAGCAACCTGGCTCCCTCCTGAATCACCTCTCCCATAGCCAGATGCCTGGGTGGCCTTCTGAATCCTTCCCTCAAGGACTGGAAAGGAGCTGGTTCACAGGGAAGCCAGGAACTTCATTACATTCCTCCTCCTTCTTCCTGTGATTGGCGTTTGTTGTAACACGGCAGTGTTCTCTGCTGCCAGGACTTGGGAACAAAGCACCTTGCTTCCCCTCAACTCCATAAGGGATGTCAAGTGGGGACCTGGTGGTGAACAATGACACCCTGGTCCCTCTCGGTGGGCTGGCCCTGGCTTCCTCCCGTGCTGCCTCTGGCTACCTGTGCCTCCTTCCTTGTCGGCTGCATCCTGCCTCCCATCTCTGTCCTTCCCGGCCGCGGCTCTGCCCTTCCCCTGGCCTCGTGCTTACCTTGCTGAGTCACAGGCACCCATACTCCCCCACCCAGTTGTCTTGATGCAGCCAAAACTCACTTCAAGTCCTAGACCAGAAGGCAGGAGGAAGCTTGTGACTGGCTGGTCCAGTCGCTGCACGGGAGGGAATTGGCAACGGAAGGTCTCAAAGCGCAGGACAGATATGCAGAAATCTCCCCGCAGGCCCCGTTCCCCAGCCGTGTCCTGCCACATGGTAGCCTTGGGAAGCACCTGAATGCCTCTTGGCCTCAGCCTCTCCATCTCTTAAATGGCGATGTTTGTACCTGCCCCACTGCCTCTCTGAGTCTGAGTTTGTGAGAGAAATGCAGATGCAAGAAAGGCTCAGGGAGGTGCGTAAGGGCAGAAACACTGGTGAAGACATCAGGTCCAAATCCGCTTGCATGATTCTCCTCATGTTTATTGCTTAAAACATGCTGAAACCTCTGGGCTGTAGAGCCCACCCTGGTGCCTCTCGGTGAGCCTTGAAGCCAGGCAGCCAAGCCCGGGATGCTTGGAGTCCAGAGACCCCTAGTGGCCTGAATGGGCCATTGACACAGATCCCCAAGAGGGAAGACAGGCTGGCAGGCTAGGGGAGTCAGGCGTTGCTCTCCTGTCCCCCTGGCACCCAGACACCATAGGGGACAAGTAGCTGTGCCCACTCTGCACACTCCCTGAGAGAACGGCCCGAGTTGCAACCAGGAGCCACAACCCTGAACTCTGCTTTAACCTTGGAGCTGGATGGCCCAGAGCGTTGGCCACGCCTGACCCACAGGCCACATCTACCAGCTGGTAGGTGCTGGGATGAAGCTGGATGCCCTGGCCTGGGTGGGGTCCATCTGCAGCCAGTGACAGCTCATTTCCATAAAGGCAGATGTCTTGAGTGAACCAGGGCTGAGCCAAGGGTGTACTTTGGGGACACAAAGGCCTGTGCGACACAGGGACGGGCAGCATTTCTGTCAACCTGAGATTCTGCTATCAAAGGCTAGCAGGACCTGCTTGGAGTAGGAGGAGGAGGCACCGGTCTCCTGTCCAGAGACACCCTCCTGAAAGAATGGGGCCATGGGGCTGTGCCGTTGAGGGGAGACGGGCACTGCTTTGGTGAAGGTGTGTGTGCTTGCGGCAGCGTGTGGGAGCGTGTGTCTGTGGATGCAGTCTGTGTACCTGCATCCACCTGTGCGCCTGAGTGCTGGGTGTCTGCCCCTCACCCACAGGCCTGCTATAACTCTGTCCCCCTGTGCTCTGTTGCAGATGAACCGGCCAATCCAGGTGAAGCCTGCGGACAGCGAGAGCCGAGGAGGTAGTAGCTGCCTGCGCCAGCCCCCTTCACGTGAGGGCCCACTTGTCTCTGCCCCTCCCCTCCCCTTCTCACTCCTCCCTCCTTTTCCCGATGCAGCAATGTGATGCAGCGACTCCCTGCCTCCTCCTCTTGCCCTTCTGGGGATCTCATGGCTGAGGGTTGGGGACAGAGCTTTGGAGCTCTGGGTGACTGGTGTGGAAAGATGAGGGAAGGAGGGCGATTGGGGTCTTCCAAACGGTGGGGTTTCTGCCTCTCTGAGTAAACAAGTGCCATGTCTCGGGGCATTCTTCTCCCCTCCGTTAAAATACCAAAAAGGGTGTGCCCCCCTCGGTGTTGCCAAGGAAAACCCCGCCGTGATGGGGCTTGTGCAGTCAGAAAGGAGACAGGAAGTGGTCGTAACTGTGCCGTAGGAGGATTCAGGCCGTAGGAGGATTCAGGCCACAGGAGGCAAATCTGAGTGGCCCATGGGAGTGTGGACACTCAAGGCCAGCACTGAGGCAGAGATCCTGGAGATAGAGGCAGGCAGTCAGACAGGTGTCTGGAAAGGGACAGAGGAGAAGGACACAGCCTCACTCCACAGACACTTGTCCCAGAACGTGAAGCCCACCGGAGACTGGCCGTGGAGAGGCTGGGTAAGGGAATGCCACACCTTGAGGCTCACCCCTGGAAGGGCCAGGCAGATGGCCAGCCAGGGGCAGCTTCATCACCAAGTGACAGCATCCTCTTGGCATAGTGCCTGTGTGTCTGTACTGTTCCTCCCTCCTCATCCCAGTCACAGAGTAACCAGGGCCAACCCTAGGCACAACCCTGGCCCTAGGCTCTCCTAGATGAGATTCAAACATACTCTGACATTAAAAGAAAATGAAAGGCAAGGACATGGCAAAGAAAATACATCCAGCATCCAAGATCAGGCCTCTCTTACCCAGGCACTAGCTCCTCCCACAACAAACTGCCCCGATGATACAGAGTCCATCACACCTCACCTGTGGGAGAGAAACAGACTCATCAGCACAATAGCGTAGAAGAATGTGCAGGCTCCTGCCAGGTGCCCCCTTCCAGGCCCGCCTCCTTGGGGAGGGAGGCATTGTCCTTCCTGATCACCAGCCCCCCTCCGGCACTCACACTGAGCCTCATTCCCACTGGTCCCTGCCCAGACGTTGCTCTGAACTGAGCTCTCAGGCACTTCCCCGGGGAAGGGGGCCAAACAGAGGCTCCGAGCAGGTGAAGGACCCCCAAGTAGAGACTCTGTCCTCTCCACCAGCAGGGGGCCCCAGCCTGAATTCCCACAGAGGAACCGCCAGGCAGTGAGCCAAACAGCCATACAGAAGTGGGACACTCCCAGAGGACAGACAGGCGGTGGCTCCCCACCTCCAGCTTCCTCCCACAATGGGAGACACCTTGGCTGCTCTTCCGCCACAGACAGGAGAGGCCCAGAAAGGGTTTAGAAAAATTGAGAACACCCATGAGGCCTCCAAGGGAACGTAAGGAGTTGGGGCCTTTTGTTGCCCTGAGAAGGTGACATTAGGTACAGCCTCCAAAGTGGCCCCAGCCTACCCTTCCCCCCGCCAGCGCTGGGGTGTCCAGTATGAGGGTCCAGGTAGTAAGATGGGACAGCCGGTCACTGCTGCCCTCCACCTCCCGGCTAGGAGCTCTTGGCTTCTGCCAACCCTGCCACGCCCTGGGCTCTGACCTGAGTGTCTGTGTTCACCACCCTCCCCTGGCCCAGGCCCAGCGCTCCAGGTTTCTCCCTGCTCATTAGATCAGCCAGGAACTGAGGAATTTCTCTCCCCCTCGTTTCCTCAGAAAGTTTACCGGGAAATCAAGGGCAAAAAGTCAAGTAGGCGAAAGCTACTTGCAAATTTGGAGAGCCAGTTGTCCTGGAAGGTGCTGTGGTGTGGCCGCTGGTGATCTGCTCATCCTTGGGGCCTGGGCCTGCTCAGAACACTCCTTCATCCCCTCAGTCAGGCCTCTGCCCTCCAGCCCCAGCAGGGCACTGACCCAGGCACAAGGCCTCTAGGACTCAGGCCCCTCCTAACCTTGACCTCAGATCCTACCCACTAGGGCTTGGGCTGGTGTCTTGGTGCTGCCTGAAGGGATCCCACGGCCCAGGGCACAGACACACCTCCTCACACCCACGGAGTGCTCCGGTCCTAAGGACCCTGGTAGTCAAGGTCCAGTTGGTTGAGGGGTAAAGATGCTTCAGGCGTGAGGGGCCCACGTGAGCGAAGCCCACCTGGTTTGTGCTGCCTGCTCCTGTCCCTTCCTTGGCAGTGAGAGGAGTGCCATCCTCGCTCAGCCTCGTCCAGGGCACGTGAGGCCCACAGCAGTGGGAGGCGTGTCTCCTGGAGACCGTCACCCAGGCACACAGTGACCCACCTGCAGCCCCCTGTTCACACGGCCCGGCCAGGAGGCAGTGGCACAAGGAAGCTGTCACGGATGGGCAGGAAAGCTGGGATAGTAGGTGCCAGCAGCAGTTCCGGAGAGGAGATCCCCCAGGCGGGGGCAGCCAGAGGCCTCAGGGGAGGTGGCACTTCTGGTCTTGAAGGTGGGAGATCCTACAGCTGGAGAAGGGAGAATGGCGTGAACAAGGGCCACCAACCCAGGCCTCTGAGGGCCACAAAGACGCGCCATCTGGTGCAGGGCAGGCAGGTCAGAGTCCAGGCCATTTTCTCCAGCACTGGAGAGGGTGTCTGGAATCCCCTCTGCCCAGCAAGGCCGTGCTGGGCTCTAACTCAAACCTTTCTCTCCCTGAACTTGCCTCAGAGGCAATAGCTCTCTGACTCCAAGATGCTAACCTCATCGGCTTTCCCCCATATATCTCCTGCGGCTGACACTCGCCCCGAACCAGATTAATCAGCTCTTTTATTCTTTTTGCAGCAGAAAGTGGGGGGTGGGGGGAGGTGGGGGGAGAGCCAAACCTAAACATCTATCTATTAATTGCATATTCAATATTAAACAGCGAGATGGCCCTGAGTCAGCACTATCACCAAGCTGTGTGGTTTTTTTTTTTAAAGAAAGTTAGTTTAAAATAATTTAATAGCCATTAAATACCTCTGGGGAGAAGGAGAAGGGGGGAGAAGTGAACATTTTAAAAGATTAAAGAAAAAGGCAACAGAATAGGGGAATAGAGAGAAGGAATGGGAGAGGGGTGGAGAAGGTGGTGTGATGGCAGCGGGCAGGACGAGAGGAGAGAAGGGAAGGAGGTGAGAAAAGTAGAGAGGTGAGGGGAGAAGCGGCAGCAGGAGGAGGGGGAGAGAGGCCTTGAAGACAGTGAGTGAGGGAAGACTGGGGCACAGTGGTGTCGGGGGAGCAGAAGCCGGCAGTGGCCGCAGAAGGAGGGGGAGGGTCAGCCCCAGGCCTGGCTCAGCAGTGAGCCTGGTTACGAGTCCCCAAAACCCAGAGGACACAGGACACCCGTCCCCAGCTGCCCTCCAGGTACTCTTGAATGCTCGTAAGCAGCACAGAAAGATGTCTTATCTGCTTAGGATTTGGGCAACATGTGAGGGCCTTTGGCCAGGGGGCAAGAGGAAAGTTTCTCTCCACCTCACCCAGCACAGAGCGGGCTGCAGCCCACTGCATGGCCATATCGTGGTTCCACCTTCTCATCCCCCATCTCAGGCCTCTAGACACATTCCTGGTCACATCCACCCACATGTACGAGGTGTGGGGGTGTCTAGGGACGGGCATGGGCAGAGTGTTGGCAGGTCTGTGTGCACAGGAGTGGCTTTGTAACTTTCAAGGCTCCTGTCTCTGACACGCATGGATTGCTGGCTGAGGCTGACAGGCCACTGTCCTATCAGGAGCAGTTCAGGGAGCTCTTTTTCCTTTGGTGTGAGGATAGTGCCAGCCTTGCCTCTGGAGGGTTTGGAGTGGAGATACAGGTACAGAAGGAAGTGGAGCTGGCGGGCGTTTGGCTGGAGCAAGCACCAGGAAGAGTCCAGGAAGCGTACAGGATGCAGTTCTTGTTCTGGTGGAAGGTTCTTATCCGGAATGAGCTCCAGCTCAGGCACACCACCTTCTCTGGGCCTCCATCTCCTCACCTGGGAGTCTCAGGAGTCATTATCCATAAAGCTGCTATTTACGGAACACTGACTGAGTGTTAGAGATTTTATGGATATATGGTTTTGTTTTGTTTTGTTTTTGAGACAAAGTGCTTTTGTCACCCAGGCTGAAGTGCAATGGCACGATCTTGGCTCACTGCAACCTCCGCCTCCAGGGTTCAAGTGATTCTCCTGCCTCAGCCTCCGGAGTAGCTGGGATTACAGGTGTGTGCCACCACACCTAGCCAATTTTTGTATTATTAGTAGAGATGGGGTTTTACCATGTTGGCCAGGCTGGTCTCGAACTCCTGACCTCAGGTGATCCACCCGCCTTGGCCTCCCAAAGTGCTGGGATTACAGGCATGAGCCACTGCACCAGGCCAGAAATATGTTTAATTTATACAGCAACCTCAAGGTACGGATGTTCTTGGCTCCACTTAAAGGTACAAACCAAGGTACAGAGAGGCTAGATAACTTGTTCCAGGGCACACAGACAGAAAGTGGCAGAGCCAAAATTCTAACTCCTACCTGTCAGCCACGAGAACCCAGGTTACCTATATTCCTCTCACTTCCAGGAGGGCTTCTCGGACTCTGGGTGGCCTAGGGGCAGTGGGTAGGCACCACAGACATTTGTCTCACCTTTAGGCCCATTCTCAAGGTGGCTGAAGTGAGAGGAGCGGGGCTCCAGGTGAGGGAGGCAGGGCTAGGCTGGACAAGGAGCTCCCAGATCTACCCATGAGACATGAAAGACCAGGGTAGGACTGGATCAGAGAAGAGAGAACTCACTGTGGCCTGGAGTAAGCAGGAAGGGCTTCCTGGAGGAAGTGGGAATTAGGAATTAGATCAAGAGGTATAGAGCTGGGATACAGTGAGGACACAAAGTTAAAATGGGGCCTTGAACACAAGGCCAAGGGGTTGGGCTTCTCACCATTGGAAGCAGGAGCAGCAATGTCCCTGGGC